TAAATAGAAAATTCAGTTCTGTTATATGAGAATCTTAATGACCGAGATAAACGATACCTCAGTTTCGTCTTGGGTTATCTGAAAATGGGCAAAAACCTTTGAGAATTCTTCATAGTTAGGATCGTTAGTTACATCCAGAGGTTGTAATACGTACTCAATTTCCACATTTTCCAAATCATCAATTTCTGAAGACTTGATTTTATAAAAATTAGGTATTGACCAAAACGAGAGGAAACCGGTAAAAAAAAAAAAAAAAAATTATAAAAAATAATATTTTAAGACATCGAAATAGACCTAAGAAGCAATAATATCTTTGTACATACTTGTCCGTTTTCAGTGTTATTTGACACGTTATTATTTTGTGTCGTGACTCCAGTTGCTTTCGAATCGTTTTTCTTTTTTTTTCTACGCTTATTTTTAACGTGTGGTTTTTTTGATGTCTTCTGATTAAATTCGTCATTTGTTACACCAGGTTTTGAATTGACTACATCTTCAGCCTCGATCTTTTTCTCAGCGGCCATTATATTCAAGAATAGGTTGAATGTTTGGCCAAAAAAAAAAAAAAACAGGTCAAATTTATATGTGCATATTAATCATGTGATAAAACGTAACACAGGCTAATAATGATAAATTCACCTCCCCTCTTATTTGTTTCTCAGATGAAAACAATGGCAGCCCTTGTTAAAGATAACACTAGTAAGACGACTATCTATGTTGGTACGAAATATATTAATTTAAGATCGTGAGAAGACGGAACAATTTCGAATATGATTTTCGCTTATTTACTCGTAGGAGGCCTTGATGATCAAGTTAATGAACAAATCCTCCACGCAGCGTTTATTCCCTTTGGAGATATTGTTGAAATTCAAATACCTCCGGATCCTGCTTCTCGTGAGCTTTAAGTATTTTGACCTTTAAAAATATTATTACAAAGTTTTGTAATTAAACTTTGTTGTGTTCACAAAAGACAATCAGCATCGTGGCTTTGGTTTTATAGAGTTCGAAGAAGCTGCTGATGCTCAAGCTGCAATTGATAATATGAATTTATCAGAACTTTATGGTAAGGTTATTAAAGTCAATTTGGCCAGGCCCATGAGAATTAAAGAAGGGAGTATGCGAGCTGGTAAGTTTTTTTTATTACTATTTTTTTTTTCCTTGAATTCAACTAAATTTTTTGGATATCAAAATTTTTTTAGTATGGTCTGAAGACGCATGGCTACAAAAATTCGCACTCAAGTCCGATGATCCGAATGTTCCCTATGAACCTGATGAACCTAATGAACCTAATGAATTTAATGAACCTAATGAATTAAATGAACCTAATGAATTAAATGAAAACAATGAATTTAACGAAAAAAATGAGGACAATAACATTTCAGCTAATTCTTAAAAAAGTTTAGAGTAGAATAAATTAGATTCGAGTTTAATTGTGATCGGTTAATGACATGAAAAAATTATTTATATAATATCTAATAATAAAATCATCATTTACACATTTAACAGTTATATATTTATTGTCGAAAGTAGTATAGCCGTCTTTATATAATAAATCGATTTTATCTCGCACTATGTGTGAGGAGTAGATAACAAAGAGAAACTGATGTGGTAATAGAGAATTTGATTTATCGTTATCATAATGACTGTTATTTTATGGGAAATGTTGATAATAATAGGATTTGATATTATCGAGATAAACTGTACCATAACAATAGTTTATTGATGATACTGCCTAATCGGCCATAGCATCCACTTCCACTTGTGTCCTCCTCGAATTCTCTCCGGTTTACCTTCAGCTAGTACTTTGCCTGATATATACACGGTGGTTAGTAATAAAATAGACGTAAAATTCTCTTAAACTCTTTTATTCACGTTACCGTCCCAAATCTTAATACCGAATGCTTTTCCGTGAGTTATATCCTATTATTTAAAAAGGCATCTTAAAAGAAATGTAAGAACTAGTAAAATAAAATCAATATAATTTACCTTCATTTTTAGTTTTACATTTGTAATTTCATAATAACTGTTGGTGATTCCTTTATTAACCCAATGATCTGGTGCCTTAATAGAGGTTGAGTTTTTAAAAAGTTTTTGAAGCTTGTTTATTCAGTAAAGAAAATCTGTTCAATACCACTTTAAGTCCAACACCGTAGTTTGGACAAACATTTAACAATTTATATAAATTCTTGGGCGATTGTGCGTCACGAACGGTAGGCAAAAGATCTTTGCCATTTAATAATAATCTTTTCGCTATAGATGTCATTAATGGGTTTTAAACAAATGATTTTTGCAAACGTCAAATATTCATTCGATCGGCTATCGATCCCTTAATTTTATTGGTCATTTATAGTAAATATATTTAATTATGCTATTCGAAGCATTAAAGTTTCGTTAACTACTTATTATACTATATAATGATAAATTTCTAACTCGCAAATAACAAAAATTAAATTATACTAGAAACCATTTTAAACACAGTTATAGTCTGAAGCGGATGAATTCAAAATTATTTTATTTTCACACCCCATGTAGATCACTCTTGAGATACCTCCGATCAAAATTTTAAAAGTTTAAACGTCTATTAAAATATTAGTCGGCAAAATTGGTTGTCTTTGATCGAAACTAAAGTTGGAAGGTAGGTTTTTTTTAGGATTTTCGGACAAATAATTTAGGATAGCTTCTAAAATAAAGCTACGTATCCGAAAACAGAGAATTCTTATTGGCACAGCAATGATCGATATAATCACTACTATATATTAATGAATTCAAAGTATCGATCAAACCTTAATTCGGGGTGAAATAATTATGACCAGTATTATTTTTTTATGTAAAATGGTCTCAATTTAGGGTTTGAAATGAAATAATTAACTGAGACTATGGGGAGCGATCAGAGATCAATGGATTCAGTTATCATTGGCCACCGCTTAAAATTCGGTATTACTCCGGGAATATAACTACGTTATTGATTTACTAATTTTAATATAATATATCCCCCAAATACAATGTCTGGTTCTTCACACAGTACCATATAAATTTGATTCTAAATCAACTTTATAATTTAATATGTGCAAAAAACTTCTTATTAATTTCTTGTATCGGAATTAAAATAAAAATCAAATTATAGTTAGATGATTATCAATTATATGCTATCTTTGGGGGTTGTCTAAAGCCATGTACCCATGTGACATTTTTGTGTAAATCAACCAACCAGGATCACGAAAGTTTGTTTACACGGATCAGCCCGAAGAAGTTAAAAAATAAAGAAAATGCAAAAATATGAAAAATGACAGTCTAAACCTGTCTTGAAGCAT